ATATATATCTACTTATTTAATAGGTTAAAACCTCATTTTGATCCATGAACTATTGCATAGACCTCCAATTTGATCTCTAAACTCAAAAAATTCCTGATTTAGTCTCTATTATTTATCATTTTTACCCCGAGTTGGTCCTTCTGTTAAAAATTGCATGACGTGTAATGTTAATTTACAGTAAAATGATGACATGTCAAAATATTATCCTACGTAGAAGACAACATGGAAAAAAATAATGACAAGAAAACAAATAATAATATAACAAAAAACTTAAAAAAGTTCTTTCTTTTTTCTTTTTTTTTTTCTTCTCCTTCCTTTTTCTTTCCCCTTTAGGGTTTGGAACCCAGAGGTTTGATCGAACCCAATGCTTGGGTTCCTTGGAACCCGATGAACCCAGCACCGAGTTCGTCAAACCCAGGTGCTGGGTTCTTCGGCAAAAAATAAAAAAAAAATTTATGTGTTTTTGTCGATGTTGTTTGATGATGATGATGAACTGATTGATGAAGAAGAATTCGAACTTGGTGCTGGGTTCATTGGCAAAAAATTAAAAAAAAAAATTTGTGTTTTTGTGGGTGTTGTTTGATGATGATGAACTAATTGATGAAGAAGCAGAATTGATTGATGAAGAAGGAGAGCAAAGGAAGAGGAAAGAGAAAGGGAAAGATGAAGGAGAAAGAATTTTTAAAATTTTTATTACCAAATCATTATTTTTTTGCTAGCTGGCTTTCCACGTGGACATAATGTTTTGACGTGTACATTAGGTTTCTGTTAGTCAATAGACACGTGGGTAGATTTTTAACGAAAGGATTAAATTGGGGTAAAAATGGTAAACAGTAAGGACCAAATTAAGAATTTTTTGAGTTTAAGGACCAAATCGAGAGGTCCGTATAATAGTTCAGGGACCAAAATAGGATTTTAACCTAATTAACAAGACATTAATATTATAAACTTTTACGATGCTAAACAAAAAATAGTAGGACCCAAGGTGCTGCCCATCAATTTATACACCAACCATAAACAACTGTAAAGATCACAATAATTGGGAGTCTTTGTAGAAAATTTTCCCTAGCAACCTAGATAATAGTATTATTATTTTTAGAATTCAAGATTTTATATTTCTAAGATGAATGAGATCATCACTAGACAATTAAATTACATAGATCAATTGAGAATTCAAGGTAAAAACTAAATATGCAAAATCATTTTTTTTTTTAAATATCTATATTGAGCAAGAAAACTTAGAAATTTAATTTTGCAAAGATAAGTAGGTCAATAGTAGGACAGCGACTTCTCTCCAACTCAATTATTTGGACGAAAAGAAAAAGAGAAGGCTTTCTGCATCTCAAGAATATATATCCTTTATTTCCGTTTCCCCTTTTATGGACTTCAAATTCTTTAACTAAACGCAAAGATCTATGTTCAACGTCATGAGCACTGATTATGAAACTCTAGAGTGTGCCAACTACACCAAATTTGGCTTATTAATGATGCATCTCCATCAAATTTATTGTGAATCCAGGACTTCTTTCAGTTAGTGCTGGTTCTCTGTTTGGTGGTCCATGCTAAAATAAGGGATTCAATTCACAATTTTTTTTTTCTCCTACAGGCGGATTTGTTGTTTCTCCTAAACTTGTACGAAATAGAATTGATTAAGGTCAAATATTCATGATTCATTATAGTGCTTCATATATTTTAATAAAATGCAAAAATTACCAACTATTTTAACAATTTAGTGATAATTTTTTTTTCAATAATATAGTTGTAAAGAAATTGAGGTAGGTTATATCCTATTTTGTAGATCAATATAATGTCCTTATGTGTAGCATATAAATAATAATTTTACAAAATAAAAGTTTAACATAGCATATAAATGATAATTATATATTTTTTCTCAAGTGAAACTCTTAAACAAAAAACCACATATAAGAAAATTTTCAAATTGCATTCATTTGCCATATTAATTTTTACATAAGCTTTTTTGTCTTAAAATCAAAAAATAAAATTATGACAGCTATTGTCAAGGGAAGTGTGTATAAATATTACTTAAAATTAAATAAGATATAATAGTGAGAGAACTAATTCTAAAAAGATATTGCACTAAGATATATATTTGGTTTTTCTATGTATATATATAAAAAGAAAGTTCACTTCTTGTTCAACTTTAATACCATATATATAATTTTAATTAGATAAATTAATAAAATTGAAGTCAATATATATTTTTTCTATGATAATCAATACGAAAAATGTGCAATGCATCTAGGGACAGAACGAGAAAAATCAGTTAGGGAGGTAAAAATTAGTATTAAAGGTCTGAGTTTTTAAGAGTATCTTTTATATAATACTAATTCATTTTTTTAAATCTTATTATTTTTTATAAAAAGATTTACTTGTGATTTTTTTACTAATATATTCTTAACAATAATTAGAAATGAATGTATTTATTATAATAAAAAAATTAAAATATAGCAATAAATCATATAATGATCAATTGAAGAATGAATAAAAAAAGAGAAATGTGTTTTCGTTAATAAAATCTCCAAAAAATTAGGAAGAAAAAGTCACAAAATTATATTGTTTCAAAGAAAAGTGTAAATTTAAAATTGATTAAATAAAAAATCAAAATTTTCTTTTTTGGGGCTTAATAGATAAGGAAATGTTTAAAAAGCCAAATTCGTAATTAATTAAATTCCTATAAAGTTCATTTTATTTAAATCATATCCTTATTTTTTGAAAACTTTTTATTTAGATCATAAATATTCTCTCTACATTTAAAATGATCATTAAAATGATAAAATCCAAACTATAAAAACAAATTTTTTAACGAATAAAAGTTAGAGTACCATATTAAATATTTTTCAAAAGCTTAGGGGGGCGGCTGCCTCCCCTTATCCTTCATTGGCTCCTTCTCTGAATGTATCTTGACTTTTGTCCTTCATTGGCACCGTCCCTGAGTGTATCTTAACTTTCTCTTAGTAATGGATAAGCCTATACATAGATGGATGAACCCATGAATTTTTTTTTTTT